AAAAGTCCATAGGCGCGCGCCTCGTGGAGCGTGACCGTGAAGTGTCTGATCCGTTGTCGGCCGCCGGTCGACATCGTATAGGCATGAGCCCGAGCCCCTCGCCCACGCCGCTTTATTTTCCTCGCGTTGCGGCGGCACATGCCTATCCAACAAGTCTGGTGAGGAGCCGAATGCGATGGAGGTCATGCCCCAGGTGCGCAGGCTCGGGGAATGCCCGAAGGAATTGCTTCGCCCAGTGTGCCGCATGAGCGAGCCGTTGGGGTACGCATACGGGTCAGCGCAGCTCGGAGATTACAATGAGGTTGTGCATGGTGCGATCAGGGCCGTCGGGGAGAAGAGGTGCAGACTCGCCTTGGAGGCGAGCTGACCTGGTCAAAGAGCAAATTGTTGGCTGCGAGTGTTGGTCAGTGCAGGGGGAAAGCTTCACGAGACGTGTCGAACATACTGGCGGCGCATCAGTGGCTGTACGGCGCGCTATCCGCCGGTAACACCCACATGTTCCAGGAGATGAGTCAAGGATCGTGTTCGACCTCGAGACGAAGGTTTTCTATGCTCACGATGAGCCAAGTCGAAGGCCGTCACGTCTCCAGAGTCAAATGCGCACTTGGTGCAGGGGCGTCTTGACATTGTCCGGCACCGCTTTCCACGAGCTGCACCTTCCAATAGGACTTGTGCGCCTTAAGCTTCGTATACGCTTGAGCACCCTGAACGCGTCTGCGGCCCTTCAGCCGAAGGATCCGCCCTTGTACGATGCATGGTGATGTGTTCGTCCCTAAAAGAAGTCTTGATCATTTGAAGGCCGGCTTGTGATGGGCCAGTAGCTGTCTGAATAAACATTCGGCTCTCTTTCAAGGGTCGTCCGCAGATACATCTGCTTGTTAGAGATCAACAGAACCCACAGTGCAATTTTGCGCCCCACTTACGTTATCGTCGATACCATTTATTGAGCCTGGGGGAAAGTGCGAGACTGGTCTCGAAGTGGACAAGCGGGGATTGAACCGCTCGTTGTGCTTTAACAGCCTGCAACGAGCCCTCTTGAACACGTTGGCACAATAAAGGGGAGGAGAGCCGTACCTCGTTTGCATCACAGTGCGGCCGGTGGTAGTGAACCGACAAACCCTTTGAGTGACCATAGACCCAAAGCCCTTGCTCGGCAGCTGATCACCGTCCTGGTCCACCTGTTTGTACAGGACGCGCCGCCGGCCCAGGAGCTCCGTCTCAAATACGGGCTTGTGCCAAAAATGGCGCGTCGCTTGATCTGCCCGCCATACAAGCTGAACACCTCGAACCGCTGGCCTTATGATCCAAACCCGCCAATCTAGACGAGCGCGGCTTGCTCATGGCCGGTTTTCTCTCTGCCGCTCCGCTTCCTGTCAGCAAGCCAACCGAAGTACGGGAAAGATACAGGTGAGACGCGCTCCGGCTTGCCTGGAGTGCAGCGAAGCTCTCGTCTTCCCTCTCGCACCCGTCCTGGACGCTCATCTGACCCGCGAATGCGGCAGACGCCACTTCTAAATGCGGCCCTTGGGAAACTGCAAACGCTTATGGAAGACCAGCTGGGAGACTAGTATTGCGTTAGAAGGGACCAAGGCTATATGGACATGGGCAGCTAGATTGCAAGGTGCGCCGCCTTCTCAAGCTGCCGAACTGTCAGAGGCTCTCTGCTGACCTCTTGTTAGAAGCTAGCTCTGCAGCGGTGAGCAGACGAATAGAAGCAAAGTGGCAAAAAATTAGTGGAGAGCCATGAACACAGGCAGACGCAATCGATGTCGACGGCCAGGACCCGTTCGTGCGGTGAGCCATGTTGCTACTCTGTTCTTAGCGAAGCTGCTCATCATTCCCTGATAGTGCTTTCTGACACCTGCCCCTGCCGGATTCATCGGGTACTGTGTACAAACCCTTGAATCACGCCGAACCTTCGTCGACCTCCCACACAGCGACACCTGGCCCGCCCTCCGTCCCATCACCGCTACATTCTTGCTCTCTATCTTACCTTCGATGATATGAGACGAAGCGCGGCCTTTTCTCGACCTCCCAATCGATATCGCCCTCTCGTCTTCCATATCAGTCGCTGTATGCCATTCCGCCTCCTCGCTGCCCACGCCCTTATGTCCTACAACGCACCGCTATATGAAAACTCCAGCTTTGCGCTGTTTGTGACAGGCTAAGATGCCAGCCCATACTGCGGAAAGCTCATCTTCCTAAGCTGGCCCCTCATCACATCGTGAAATGTCCCCGATACGTCCTGTCACTCGAATGCCACGTTAGTTGCACTGGTCGGGAGAGTCCCCAGTACGACGGCCTGCTCGTTGCGCATGCGGCTGTATCTAATGGG